TAACATGTCGGTAATTTTCTCCTCTGTATCAACATTCTTCATTGAAAGTGTCTAGGAATTTGATTGGAATAAAAATACAAATAATACCAACATATTATGATTTTAAACATTGTGAAACTAGGCTTTTGAATACACATTTCAATTTGTTGTAAATAAAACGAAATAAATTTGAGAAATATTATTTTGGTCCTAACATGTCGGTAATTTTCTCCTCTCATTATATCATTCTTCATTGAAAGTGTCTAGGAATTTGATTGGAATCAAAATACAAATACTTGTAATACCAAAATATCGTTACTTTAAGGGACTAGTTTTCTGAATATCCATTTCAATTTGTTTTAAAAAAAAAAACGAATTAAATTTGAGAAATATAAGTTCTCATTCGGAAATATTAGAAAATGTCCCTATCTTATAAATATCAATATAACATAAATATTTTGCTCGTGTTTTACGGATACTGATCCCATAATCCAATAGTAATATGTATCGCAATTGAAAAATTAGTTGCGTAGCCGTAAACAGATATGAACTTAAAAAAGAATTCGAATTTAATAACATAAGTCAGTTTTCAGGTTCTTAAGAGATGATCTGACTATGAGAAATATTCATTTCTGTAAATAAATATCATTCCACGACTTGCTTAGTGTCGTTGCTAAAATGTAAAAAATCGTACTTAAACTTTGAAGAGCAGAAATGGAAATCCAAATTCAAAATAAATATTGTCTTCTCCTTGTTCAGCTCTAAACAACATATGCATACTTTGTTTAAATTAATGACTATGATCTTAAAAAGTTAAGCAACAATTGCCGCTGTTTTAAGTTGCAAAATGGATATCAAAGATTTGTGCCAGATGAATCAAAAATTATTAAAAATGTTGGCAATGAGTTAAATGTTTTGCTGATTGAGGCTGAACATAGAATGTACTTGTATATAACATAATATGGCATTGATATTAAACTCTCTGCACTGCAATTAAGCCACAAAAAAACGCTGTCACTTGACTGTGCAGGCGCTTGGTCGTAAAGTTATTATAATTATTATTATTATTATTGTGCCTTAATATAGTCATAAATCTGTGCATTTAAAATGCAGAAAATATAGCATCCTGCTGTTTTTGGCGAGGCTAAGCATGCAGCATGCAGCTTGCAGCAACTTACGAATACGACTTCATCTGCATTTTTTGTTATTGCCTGCGTACGGGCGATAATAAACTGGCGCACTAAGCCACCCATGCGTGGCTCGATGTGGCAAGGTGGGGCCAGGTGGGGCAAGGAAGGTCGGTCGGTCGGTCGGTCGGTCGGTCTCTCGTTGTCGTTGTCGTTGGCAGGCATGCCAAGCAATCTCTAAAGTCTAAGCAATATCAATAACACTTGCAACGGCAACAACGTTGATGGGGACGGTGTTGGTGATGGTGATGGAGATGGGGACTGTGACGGTGACGGTGACGGTGAATGCAACATGATGCGACGACTGCGTTGAAGGCGACAACGATGCCCGGCAATGTCACTGAACCAGTTCTCAATGTCTTCATATAGATTTCGCTGGCTAGCTCGATGGCTAGCTGACTAGCCAACCTATGCACTAAATATTTACAAGCTGCACAATATCTCAAACTTGCAGATACACAAACACACACACACACACACACACACACAGGCTAGTCCATTTCTAACTGCAATGACAATGCTGTTACAGTATGCGGAACAAGTTCATGCAACTGCGCTGCACAAAAGGTGGCAAGTAGAGATGGACAGAGTCGGCACGAAATTGGCTTTAAGAAACAGGCACGCACAGGCAATAATGCTCATTGCTCGTAACACAAACCAAAGATATCACTAAAGTAATGCCTAATTATTAAGAACTGGCAGGTGTTTTAATAATATATGGTGTCTATGGAAGAACTGTCATTGAATGTTACAATATCTAATCAATATAGAGTTTATCTCAACACATTTAATCTCTCTATGAAAAACAATTCATCCTCAGCAGCTGAAAATGTATAAAGCTGAGAAATTATTACACCTTTTCTCTACTTTGATATTACCACTAAGAAGTGTATGAAAATTTCACCCCAAAGTGAGGTAAACCCGGGGGTTAATATGTATATGAGACACATTTTATTTGTGATTCGATTCATTTCAAGCTTAATTTCCCTATTCTATAGCACAGATGATAAATCCATTTGTGGAAACTTCGTTTTTAGGCTACATTATTATTATTCTATTTATTTGACCGAAATTTGTACACAAAACTAAAAGTGTCATAGCTCTTGTATATAAATGGCTCCATCTCATAAAATTTCAGACTGTTTTCTTATTTCTTATCAGAATCATTTAAAGAGTATTCCCAATATTTGTTGCAATTTTAATTGTCATTGAAATTAGGTGATAGATTTTATATTAATTGCTCATTAGGACTTATCGAATCTATAAAGCAAAGTTTATTAAAAATATATTATGCTTTTAAAAGAAATGAATCAAGGACTGAGTGGAATTTTTGCAATGCACAATAAATTAACACCCATAAGACAGCAGGAAACTTCTATTTTTCTATCACGTTGGGCAAGGAACACGACACATGTCCACCTCTAGTAGTCTGGCAAGCCTTGGCCTAGGCAGGCAGGCAGGCCAGCCAGCCAGCCAGACCTGGCCAAGTGTCGTTGTGGCCATAAATTCAATTGAATATTACGCCAATTGCCTTTTTGTCTATCGCAAAATGGGGAGGAGTTGTGGGGCCATAAAAACTGGTTCGTCTGGCAATATATATGTATATAGTATACGCACTACCTGGGCTGGCCTGTCCCGGGCCCGGGCCCGAGCCAGTTGGCGCTATCAGCGCTGCTGCATTGCAAGTCTATTTTGAGGGGCCGGCCAGCAATGCTTTTATGGACGCTCTAAGCAGATTTAGTTCATCTCTCCGAGATGATGGCGCACGCTAAGCCGCTTTGGACTGCTAATTAGGCGACTTTTGGCGCGTCATCGTCATCATCAGCAGCAGCAGCAGCAGCAGCGCGTCAAGGCATCGACCAAAGTCTCGCTAATATGCATCAAAATGTGTCAACACCTGAAGGCGCAAAGAAACGCTCATGTTAATTGGTAATGTTCGGCCTATCGGCGGCAGAGGCAGCGACAACTGGCCAGCCTATAAGAGCCTAGACCTGCACCAGTTGTCCGTTGTTCGTTGCCCGTTGCCATGTTTTCACTCCATTAACGCGTTTCAGAGCAGGATCTTGGAAGCTGCTATTTCTGCTGCTGCTGCTGCTGCTGTTGCTGCTTTAATGACGCTTGACGTTGACCGATCGTCGACCGCAAGCGGCTGACCGATCAAAAGTCGTTCAACTTGCCGGAACTGGTCGTAAAAGATCACTTGGGGTACAACTATTCGCCTGCCAATGTGTGTGCACACACACACAGCATCGTTGTAGTCCCATGTGGAGCAGCTTTTGGAGCACTGGCGTTTATTATATTGAGCCGCCTGCATGGCACAATATTAATGGCCGCCACAGAGTTCAGCCCGGGTCCCCCACACGCACACACACACACTCACACACACACACATACGAGCACTCGTACTACTGCGAGGGGTTCAAGCCAAAAACATAGTTTATCTTGTCGTTTCGAGGGTACTGGTACTGGTACTGGTCGAATGGCAGGAACGAGCTCTGAAGCTCTGAAGTAGCTTGGACTAAATTAACTCTGACTGTGAGGGCATCTATCTTAAGCATCTTAAGTGAAGTGATCGTGGGCTTGTGTAAATGTTGTGCTCCATAGAATAAATTGCAGATGCAGATGCAGATTGGCAATATTATTTACTAGCTATTGAGCTTTTGGCACGGTTGCTTTTCCTCTCTCCATCGTACTAACTTGTCTACAGGAAGTTCGAAATTAATTAAAAAGCAAATAAAGCGAATTGATGCCACTTAGGCAGCAGTAGCACCACAGGCTGCGTTGAAGTGGTTCCTTTTTAAGGTATCTTTTGACTCCTTGGTGGATTGTATTTAAATTAAGGCATTTGTGCAACAAATATATTTCTCACTTATGTGAATCTTATTCTAATCCCACTGTATAGGCTGCCTTGAAGTCGCATTTGCGATTCTATTAAGGCTAGTAAAACATTCTTTATACATTCCACATTTATTATTTATTTATTAATTTGATTTTAAGGGATTTCATTGCTGACGTGGCTTCGCTTAGGTGCCTCGTATGAGAAGCGCAGAGGAGGGCAGTCTTTTCAATTTAATTTCCAACAATTATTATTTATTTATTTGATTTTAAGGGCTTTTGATGCTGATATTGGGATATCATCGATTTTCAATCAAATTTCGACATCTAAATTAAATTATCTTTTGAATTTAATATTCAACAAATAATTATTTATTTAATTGAATGATTTTATGCGATTTTATTGCTGAAGTGCCTCCTATGAGAAGCGCAGAGGAGGGCAATCTTTTAAATTTAATGTCCAACAATTATTATTTATTTATTTATTTGATTTTAAGGGCTTTCGATGATGACGTGGCTTCGCTTATGAGCAGCGCAGAATAGGGCAGTCTATTGAATTTAATTCCCAGTAATTATTATTTATTCGATTTTAAGAGCTTTTGATGCTGATATTGGGATATAATGGATTTTCAATCAAATTCCGAAATCTTAATTAAATATCTTCTTTAAATGCAGGAAGTATAATCTCGAATTGTTTACCTTCTTGTGACAATATGGATAATAACTTGAATAATTTGTTATTCCTGTTGATCGACAAGATCTCTAAGCATTCAAAATCGAACCTGATCCAATAAATTACACCAAGAGATAAGTTAAAGTTTGCCGGCATTATTGGTGATCTTTAAATTGTTTAAATTAGATATTATTGATGAGATAGCGACATAAAACCTGTTAATGAACGAGCATTTGCATTTTCATTTGTTTAATAGCAGAACAGTAGTTGCGAATCTTCTTTGTTATTCATTTTATTATTTAAAATCTTTGAATAGTTTTGCTCACCTGCACATACTCGGCGCATATATCAATTCCACCCACAAAGGCGCACACATCGTCCACAGTCCAGGAATTAACCTCCTCGCTCTGTGCCTGACACTGACGCACACTGGAACTGGACGTTGCCGATGGTGATGTGCTCGCTACTGCTGCTGCTGCTGCTGCTGCTGATGTTGTTGCTAATGCCGCTGCTGTTTCAGAAGTTGCAACTGTTGTCGTGCTGCTACCAACTTTGGCGGGCTCTGCATTCGCGTTGGCGTTCGCTTCCGCTGCCTGCTCCGTAAGTGGCGGGGATGGTGTGGTGGATGCTGTTGTTGTTGTTGTGGTTGTGGAGGAGGCACGACGCGTCGCCAATATACCCACTGCTGCTGTTGCTGTTGCTGCTGCTGCTGTTGTTGTTGTTGAGGATGATTCAGCCTTAAATCGTTTTGCTGCCGGCGGTTGGGAACTCAAATCAAGCGGCGCTGTCGCAGCCGCTGCAGCAGCGCCGCTTGCTGCAGTCTCTGCACTATTGTTGTTGTTGTTGTTGTTATTGTTATTGCTGCTGCTATTGGAACGTGGACTAGACTGGCGTGAGGCGTGATGTGACTGCTGTTGCTGCTGCTGCTGCTGCTGCTGTTGTTGCTGTTGTTGTTGGTGCAGTTGCGCCGAATAGACAAGAGCGGGTGTAACAAATTGTGCCGCCTGCTGGAGCGCCGCATTCAGATTGGGACGCGGCGTGGCAGAGGCGCTGGCATTGGGTGAGGAAGCACTGGAATTGGAACGTTGTTGTTGCTGTTGTTGTTGCTGCTGCTGCTGTTGCTGCTGCTTTGTCGTTGTTAGTGTTTGTTGTACGCCGCGCAAAATTTGCTGAATCTCAGCATCTTTGGCAGCACGCGCCTACACGTCCGTGGAGAGGGGATTAGCGGGGATGAGAGGGGGGAGAGAACAGAATACATAACAAGTTGAGCATTTGGGTGGTCATTGATGCCCCATAAAGCTGCTTACCAGCGTGAGCAAGGCTTGTGTGCTGCTCATGTCCATCAGCGGCGGAAAGATGCCCGACGAGAAGGGCAAAAAGTTTGTCATGAACGGCGATACGCTGGCGGCAGCCACCACCGCGGCCATTTGGCTCTTGGCCTGTGCCGCCACCGCCGCAGCCGCCGCTGCCGACGACGTGTGGTCTGTGGGAGAGTGCGCCGCAGCGGGCAGATTGGCCAAACTGTTGGTGGTGACGGACGTTTCTTTGGGCAGACTCGCCACTGGTGATAGCTTTTTATTGGCCACTGTCGCATTGAGCGCCACATTGCTCGGCTTGGCACGCTCCGTGCCCGCCCGTTCCGAGGCGCTTGTGGCAGTAATGCTGCTGTTGTTGCTGCTTCCATCGTAAATGGAATTACGACGGCTGGCATTGATGCTGCAAGTACATAGAAAGGATCGTGAGTTAAGTTCGTTGAGTTGACAAAAGGAAGAGAGGCATGTGTTGTTGCTGCTAGAATTAAGAATAGGCCCATGATCATGATTTGCGAGTATTTCTGACTTCCTCAAATGATTATAGCTGTCTTCATTTTTATGATTTGTAAAATATTCGACCAATTTGATAAAAAATCGAAAATGGTATTGGCCTTTAATAATTCGTTTCTATTCTTTCAAGAACAGTAAGTAGTTAAGTAATTTATCACAAACTATGGTTGACATTTAAAACGAACATTTAACGAAATAGCTAAGTATATCAGAACATTAGTTGTATCTTCATCAAATTATGATTAATATTTATCTATTTATTTTATTTCTGACAAAAATCTGTCAATTTGAAAACATGGAAACATAACAAAAATAATAACAATAAATATACATTCAAATATATATTTATTCAATATAAAAAGGAACGGAAAAAAAATAATGAAAAAATTAAAATAATTTCAAAATTACAATATTTTTTTTTTTAAGTAGATATTAAAATATTTAAAATATTTTTTCTGACCTTAAGAATTGCAATAACTTGATCTAAGCAAATTGACAGTGATCTTAGGGCCAAAGCGATGACTATATTGATTGTAATTGTTACAAAGAACCCGAAAGAAATTGTGCAAATAATTTCAAACATATTTACGAACTGGAAGATTTTTAAAACAGCTTGCTCAGCGATTTTTTAGCTTAAACTAGCTAGCTAAGCTATATTTGCTAGGAAAGTAGACTGCTTTGTGAGCAGCTTCCTATACCATATTTTACTTTAATTATCCGCTTTTGTGGGTTGTACTCCTTCCATAAAGGGTACTTCTGTCTAAGCCGAAGCGTAGTGGCTCTGAGCTGGGCCTAATTTCCTCACATGATTATAGTTTTGTTTCGTTTTAAAGACAAACAAACATTATGCAGATTTGTTTAGGCGAAAGTTAGTACAACTATTTAACTATATTGCTTTCCACTTACTCATTTGGATTTGCATTGTTGTATTTGGCCGCCAGACAGCGCATAATGTCCGAATAGTTGCGGGTGGCAAAGTCCGTGACGCCAGTTGTGGCGCCTCCGCCCGCATTGGCAGCCACCGAGCTGCCGACCCGCTGATTGGCGGCCGAGGCTGCCGCTGCCTGCTGGATGCTATTCAACAGATTGGTGGACAAATTATGGATGGGCATGTGGCTGCTGTTTGGAGGACTAAGTCGCTGCTGCTGTTGTTGTTGTTGTTGCTGCTGATTCGGTGATATAACGCCGCCACCGCGATATGCTGAGGAGGAGGGCGTGGCGCTACGAGATCTGCAAAATATGGAATAAATAAAAAATTAAGCTTTTAATTATTCGCAGCATTAGCATAAGCCAACAAATTTGGGTTCAGCATAATTTCGACATAAATCAAATATAGTTCAAATATATATAATACGCCATAATGAGCGGCGATAGATTGGCATTAATATTTAATTAGTTGGCTTCCTGATTTAAATAATTCTAGGTGTCGCATACAATTGGATTATTTGTCACATTTGACTCTTGCCAGCTGGATGCTGAGCTGACATGCTAATGAGTTGCTTCCGTGAGAAGAGGCAACAACAACAACAGCAACAGCGATGGCAACATGAGCTCACACCTTGCGAACGATGCTGGCTGGCTGGCTGGCTGACTGGCTGGCTGGCCAACATATCGAAGTCGTTGTGCGGCTAAAGCGATCTGAGCCGTTGACGTTTGATATTCAGTAATTTATTAGTAGGAAGACAGCCGGAGAGAGATAATGCGATTACGTGTTGCACGTTAAGAGTTATGGCGTTGTAAGTGGACATGGGAATAGTCGGGTGAAGAAGCAGAAGAAACGGCAATATACTGGAATGTAGAGTACAAGCAAATGCAGCCTCTTTCATCTTCATCGCCAGGTGAGGAAAATGTGATATTAATGATGAAGATTAGATTGTAGGTGTTAAACAAATCTTACGAATATTTGTGTATGGATTTAGAATTAGAATTTCCATACTGAGATCACTACTGAATCCGCAAACTATTTCGATGCAGTGTTAAATTTATTTACATTCAAGAAAAGCACAGATTTTATTTCATTGCACTATGTTTCTTAATGTCAAACGAATTTATGGCTAATAAACATAAGTGTTTAGCTAAAAATTCATAAAAATTTCTTCAATTGAAAGAAGTAATGATATGGGCGGATAGGCAAATAATTTGGCCATAGTTTCGTTCCGACAATGCCAGTCCTTGAAACGAGGAACTCTGATTAGCACTAGGAAGTGTCAAATGAGAGCCAAAAACATGTATAAAGATTGTTTCAAACATAATTTCATGTGCTTATATGTAAGGTCAAGCTGTTTATATACTTGTATGCACATATATTGAAGACAATAACTAAAGCCGCAGAAGAAGAAGAAGAAGCTGAGGATCTCAGCACCAGTGGGGCTGTATGTGGAGACGTGTGCCGGCTAAGCTCGGCGGCAATAGACCACGAGCCATGCTTATAATCAGCATAGATTTTAGCCGGGCAGAGGCAGTCAGTGTGGCAGCTGCAAGTGGTGGTCTGCTCGCGAGTTGGTTGCATGCAACAGCAGCAACAACAACAACAACAACAACAGTTGCTACCTATGCCCAGCAATGAAATAACTCGTGCTGCACGTCGTCAGCAATGTCGTGTCGTTTTTGTGCCGCCGCTGGTGCCACCGTTGCTTCAAACTCAGATATACTTGTATATATAGAAAAATGTATATGTATATATGGTATAGAGGTGGATATGGCAACTATAAAGGCAAAACACCGTTGTTGTTGCTGCTGCTGCCGCTGCCATTGATTTATCGTGATCTGTTGGTTGTCGATGTGTTTTTGTTTTGTTCCTCCTTTTCAGTTACAAGATACTACAACTTTTTTGCTCCTTTATGTTTGGTTTTTTTTTTTTTGTTTTTTGTTTGCGCTCAGCGTTTTGTTTTTGAAAAAATGTTGATTATTGCAAATTGCTTTGGCGATTGGTGGCAGCTACTTAGTTGTGTTGTTTGCCTTGTTCTAGCAATTGTTCAAATTGTTAATGCTGCGCTTATTACGGCCGATTGCCCGATCGGCCACTTTGCTGTCTACTGGCTACTGTGCCATACTAACGGTTTCCATTATTCTATGCCCGCATGCTTGGCCACGCCCCGTTCGCCTGGTATGCTAATGGGCCCCCATTGTTACACCTACGCGCCATGAAAATGTATGAGACAATTCGAAAAGAAACCAACAGCTAAACAAAATGGTTTTTACATATATTAGCAATCAACATACTATGTATATGCACATATTTATTTGCTTATGAATGAATGAATGGTTGGCAAATTTCAGACAGCCCATAAAATCCAGCTGTGGTGGGCAGTTAACTTAAAGATTTACAAACATGACTTAGCATCGGAGATCGTGCAGGTTTTTAGCTTGAAATGGCCACAAACAGGGGTTGACTATTTCGTAAAACCTGAACTTGAATCAATCAAGAGGTCATAAATATGGTATAGTGGAGGGCCACGACAAATTGTTAACAGAGGGAACTCTCTAAAGCCCACGAATTGGAGCACAGCTCCTTAGCTCGCTTTAACGGCTAGAAAGCAATTTCCCTCACGGGCTCTATTTATTTAAAATAAACAAAACGCGCGTAGATAATATTCTTTCTTCATCATCCTCTCTAATTTGCATGGAAGCCAAATTTTTCCCTCGTATTTTTCCCTTGCAGCTCACCAAACCTCATCCAATATCAAATCGATTGTTCATCTTGAGTTTTTACTCAAGTTTTTTTGTGTACTAACTTTGTAGCAGATTATGGAGCAGACTGGTACAGTATTTCTAGCACTTATTTACAGAATCCGTATGCTTAATCTTAAGAGTCTGATAAACAAAGAACTAAAAGATATATTTCTGTTTCCTTTTACTTTAAGGAATATGATTTCAGGAATATGCAGCACTTAGATTTTGTTTTCGTCCTCATAAAGGAATATTTTGCAAAGATACAAGCATTCATCTATTTTGTACGCCAATGTACAGTTATTTATGAGTTGCCCGTAAATAAAGATGAAGCTATAAGGACTTCAACTATATAACTTGATGATGTTGATGTAATCTGAAATTTGCGAGCGAAGTCTCTGCTTGATGTCTAACCATCACTTTACTAACTAATCTATGTAAAAAGTTAAATATTAAATATGATTAACATAAATATCTAGCACAAACATGCAACAAGTGGCAGCTTCGGCGCCGCCTATGACGTCAAATCTATAGAAATATTTAAATTAAAATTTTTAAAACTCTACAATGCTTTGTGGTTTCCCATCTATTTGCTCTTCATCCGAGAAGGTATAATTAATATGCAAAAGATGGAATAGAGAGAAAAGACAGTTCTTTGACTCACACGCAGACCTCACACAGCTTCTTAAAAGAACACGATCAATTACACACACTTCGATTTGAATGACAAAAAGCCTCTCCTCAATTTCTGACAACTTAAGTCTGAAGATATATATCGCTTATACATACATTCTCGTGCATATTAGTAATCCCATCTAAAGTCAACCACGACTAGGTTATTAATATTTAACCCATTTGCTCATAGCTCGTCTCATTAGGCAAACTAAATGCCGTAGCCAACAAGAAGAAGAAGAAGAAGAACGAAAAAGAAAAGAAAAATTATATACCTGTATCTTAAAGATAATTTGGAGCCGTAAGCTTGTCAAGCAATTTGTCGGGTTATGTCGATACTCAGCCTCCACCAAGTCGCCGGCACACCCATGGCGGGTTAGCTGTCAACTTCTTTTTCTTTCTATTCCCTACTACTATGTAGCTTAGTTCTAGTTCTCTCCGTTATTGTTGTTATTATTGTTGGTATTGTTGTGGTTTTGAATAATTGCTTAACAAATGTTTATCTTTTTCAAAGCTTTCGACGCCATTAATTTAGTTGTGCGTATTAATTGCTTTGGTTTCTGCTGCGACTGCTTCTATTTCAGCTTGTCTTCGTCTTCTACAAGTTTCGTAGCTTCATTGTTGTTGCTGTTGTTGTTGTTGTCGTCTGGCTTATGAATTTAATTTTTATTTAAATTTCAGGTTTTCTACGTTTTCTTTTGACAGCAAAAGCGTGCCCAAGTCGCAGCGGCGTGCCGTGTGTTTAAACATTTTGATTAATTTGCCGCCTTAAGAAAACAGAAGACAACAAAAATGAACCGAAAACAGTAGCCAAATGATATCGATACGAATTTTTCGTGTTGATAATTTGTGAAAATGTTAATTAATTTGTCAGGCCAGGCAGCATACAGCAGACAGTGGCAATAACTTAGAAAAAACGAGTAGCGAAAAAAGAACACAATAGATTGTTCGAGCGTTATATTGAATGGACAATAGAATGCAGCAAATAATAGAGAAAGCTTTTATATTCATGATCTTAGTGAGTGGAATCATTTAAGCATTCATTTTTATAGAATCGTATAATAGAGTGTAACAAAAATTGATAAGACAGGAAGCCTATTTGCCAATAAATGAAATTTAAATAAAGGATTAAATTTTAGAAGACTTGAAAATAATAAATGGGCTAAAGAAATATCACATCTTCCTCAATAAGTATGCTGTTTGTCTAAACAAAACTTTTATCAGAGTTCCACTGAAGCATCAGTTTATCAGTTTTCCAAAGGCCAGGAAACTAGGCAAGCGATTACAATAGATACCGAGATTTATTTTAAAACTAGCTTTAGCGCTCTATTAATAAACAAAAAATCGTTCTTTATGAATGAATAATTTGTTTGTAAAATAGGACGAGTTGATATTCAAATTGTTCTAAAAGACTGAGGAAATGATGTTCATTCTTATATATAATAATAAAGTAGATGAATTATTGAAATCACTTTTTCCGTCGGATATTCGTTAAGTCTCTAGAGTCATCTTCAGTTCTTAAATAACCCCAGAACCTATATCTTTTCAAGAGTCATAATTGTAAGTCAAAACTATGTGTTTCGGATCAGTATAACTTTTACAAAATTGTCGGCTAAATTTTTATATTTCAATACGCTACACATAATGGATAAAAATGAGAAGCCCGATCCATCCAAACTGATACCGTCCAGTAACAATTCTGCAGAGTCTAGCAGAATTTCGGCTGGTACATATATTTCAAGCTCATTCAGTATTTCTAATCAATTAAAAAACTGAACTTCCAGTTATAGACGCAAGCGCCGATCCACCTAGGCCACGATCTATTTTATGCAAAACCAGGAACCTAAGCGATTGTGAAGCTGATGGTGAAAATTCCCCAGAATTCAATGGAGTGACTGCTGGGAACAGAGAAACCATTATTACGTTCATAGAGCCAATAGATGTCCATGATGATGGCATTGATGAAGTCACTAAGCAGGAACGCCGCGAAAAATTAAAGGCGAAAATTCGTGAGCATTACCGGAATACCAGTCCCTGGGACAAGCCCGGTCTTGGGGCGGCGGATGAACGTTTTGACGAGGACAGTGACGCGGGCAGAGAGACACCAAAATTGGAAGACAAAAAGGAATAGATGGTGGATAAAGAACAGTCTTGGAAGCAATTACAAATTTGTTTTTTCGTCTTTGCAGCTCTGATAAAATTGTCTGTGACAAATTTGTACTATTGTTCTAGAAAGTAATATGGATAAAGACGACAAACCCGAACCACCAGTGCCACCGCCTATACTACGTAAAGAGGTCTATCAGGAAGAGAGCCATGTACACCATTCAGAACATGCCATTAAGATTGAAACGCCACCAGTAGAAGAGGCTGATGACGAGGCTCAGGAGACTGATGGGTTGACTAAGGAGGAACGACATCAAGAGTTTGAAGAGGCGCGTCGCCAACACGATCATGATATGTGCAGGCCCAGTATACTCTTCACTGATGTCACAAGAGATCCCGAAGAGGAACTGACAACGGATGAGGAGCGAAGCAGTTTTGGTTCAATAACGAATAAAGACAACCATAAAGACAACAGCAAAGATAAGCAGCCAGCAACCAAGAAAAAAAAGTAGTTCCTCATAATACATAAATAAAACACTCTTATAAAAAGATTACTTTCAGTTGCTTTTTTGTAAGTATTTGGCGGAATTGTTGGCATCTTTTCATTTTTATTTATTATTTGTAATGATTTAAAAGATTTTAAGTAAACTGAACTGAAACTGTTTCGTTTAATCTTAAGTTTTCTTTACTTCATATCGATATAATGGAAAGCACAATTGACTCGTTTTAAAAGATAAGAAAGTATTTGACTTCCATATAGATTATACATAAATTACAATCTTTCCCCTGCAACCGCTTTTATAGTTTATCCCATTAGATCCTTATTAGTGCTATAATTTGTCTTTTGAAATCAAATATACAGTGGTCTCGTCTAGATAACCTCAATAAGAAACATCTAGGAAAAATAGTACCGAAATCGCCGAAGTAGTGATTAAAACAGACAAACGGACATAGTTGATGGTTTTATCTCTTCATCTGCTATTCTTCTTTATGGTTGTTACAGAAAATTTGTAACAACCAAATCATTATCAATACTCACAGTTTTACTTCTATTTTTTTTTTTTTTTTCAGTTTATTTTATTTTATCTCTAATATAGATATAAATTGAAAAAAAGGCATTTATTGTTCTTAAGATTGAAAATTTGCTAAACACTGTGTTGTCTTCTATTACACATGAGTGGATTGAACTTCCTCCAATTGTCGGTAACGTTAGGGGATATCGGAAGTTAATTGAATTTTGTTGTAAGCATTGTTATGTTTCTGTAGCATTTCATTTTGGTTAGCAATTCTTCACAAATTCTTCTGACATTCTTAAATCTATCCTAATCGAACCCAAGCGACCCAGCCTCCCTCACATAGTCTAGTCTGGCTTTTATAGATTTCTTGAAGATTTCTTCTTGTTTTTAAGTTTTATTCGTATTTCTTTATTTCGCAGCTGAGCCAGGTTTTTTTTATTATTTTTATATACTTTAACATGAAAGGACTACTTCCTTTTGTCCATTTGTTGTTAACAATAGCATAAACTTTTGTAATCTTTGAAAGCTCATTGGGGGTCAACTCACCTGGGAAATGCGGTTGTCACTTCGCCGTTTGTTGTGCCCGGACTGAGGCGTTCACGTTTCACGCTGTTGCCGATGCTCAACTGGTGTTGTTGTTGCTGTTGCTGTTGCAGGAGATGATTGCTGTTAGTGTTGCTAATGTTGTTGATAATGCTGCTGTTGTTGTTGTTGTTGTTATTGTTACTGAGCGCAGCATTGTTGTTGTTATTGTTGTGCATGGACATGGCCGTTGACTCCTTCAAGGAGTCAATTTGCGCGCCCGTCACATGCAACGGCGAGAGTTTCTCATTCTTGACCTTGCCAAAGTATAGGGCGGCATATGCCGCAGCTGCAGCCGCCGCTGTGGCAGCCGTGTTGCCCGTTGAAGTTGCTGTTCCTGTTGCTGTTGCAGCTCCAGCGCTGCTCGCTGCTGTTGTTGCTGTTGTTGTGTGGTTCGCTGCAGCTGTTGTTGTTGTTGTTGCAGTTGCTGCGGCAGCTCCCGTGGCGTTGCTGGCCTCGCACAATTTCTTGGCACTCTCGATTGCACTGTAGCCGCTTAGCAGCATCGAGCGCTCGCTCAGCATTGTTGCCGTGTTGCTGATATTCCAATTGTTGTTCCCGCTGTTGTATTGCTGCTGCTGCTGATGCTGCTGTTGTTGTTGTTGCTGCTGCTGCTGCTGTCGGAGATCGCTGGCCACGCGTTCAATATGCTTGCGTTTGGTGGCCGCTGCCGCGGGCAGTGCGTGCTGATTGCTGGTCGCTGGCGTTGCGCTCCTGCCGCCCACAATTGCCGTCGTCGCCTTCGCTGGCTTCTGTTGCAGTATGTCGGTGGGTGTGTTACCTGCAAGGGGAAGAACGCAAAGCAGATTGCGTTTAAATGCAATTCACACTGGACAGCAGCAATACTAGACTAGAGTGTCGACTATAGACTATAGTGTTCTATTCTGGTACTGCTAGATGTGCGCACAGGCACAGCACGTTTTATGTTACGACACGCCATTTACACGCTCGGCGCCAAAAGCTTACTAAGAAATGTACTTTTTGTACCTGGGGCTGCCGGCTGTTGAGTCGACTCGACTTGAGTCGAGTCGAGTTGAGTCGTGAGTCGAGCGACGCATGCAAATCGGCCAAAGGTTAAAATAACTTATAATATGTTAACAAAACCGTTGACCTGCAACGTTGAACCCTTAAGCTAATTATCGGGGTGAACGCAAAGTGCACAGACAAGTAAATAGCGAGGCAATGCTACAAATAACAACAACAACAATAACAACAATAACATAGGCAACAACAATAGCAGCCATAGCCACCACAACAATAGATACAGCCAAGAAACGCAGCAAGAAGCAGACAAGCACAAGCATATATGACATGGCAAAGGAAAGTGGATTCTAATGATATTTTGATAACACTCTGAACTCAACTAGCTCGCATGTTAAGCCCTTTTTTTTATAAAGCAGCCTTACAGAACTTCTTGGAATTCAGAGTTAACGTAGCTTGAAAGTACTATTAATGCATCTTGCAATAGATATCTAGCACTACACATTACTGAAAGACCTTGGTGAACTATTTTTTGTAACGCACTTTTAGATTTCTTCGTTACATATGTAGTTATGTGAGTCTGGTCTGGTCAGACATGCAAATAATTTGCACACAAATTGTTGCTATTTTGCAAGTAGGCTTCGAATGGTTAGAAGTTTTTTGTAAAAGATTTTAATTTGAATATTTTTGCAGAGAGGAATTTTTAATGGTTTCGATTAAATTCAAGTCAAACTCTTAAAAAACTTGTCTGCTAATTATTTCTATGTCTAACCAGACCTTTATTTAGGTCTAATAGCAATTCATCGCCTGCGCCTGCCTGCCATCAAGTATTATTTTTGTAATTATCCTCGCACTGTTAAATGAAATTAGTTACAAACTGTAACCAATATCTTTATAGTTTTTTAATAACTAAAATAAATTTACAGATGCTTCTTTTGAGGGAACGAAAAACTTAAAAGTTAGATCATACACTCATATGCCTCTCTATAAAATTGTAGCGTACATTGTCTATGACAATGGCATCGAACTTTATGGCATTGCTGGACTTGCGCCGCGACGCGTCGTGTCCGGAGTGTGAATTCTTTTCACATTTCTTTATTTATTTTAAGCACTTAAATAAATTAGTTCTAGCTAATATTTAAAAACAAACATCGATACATAATGGAACACACAAAGCATTGACCCTTGTCTGTGCATTGGCATTCGCTGCCACCTCTACGCGAAGGTGAAATTCCAGGTGCAAATTGCCAGCAACTACCGTGTCTAGGCCCGTCTGCCTGCCTGCCTGCCTGCCTGCCACACTCACACTTGCATGCCAAACATAGCATAAATAATTAAATGAAATATTTACAAGCGAAATTAACAATTTGTAGCTGCTTGTTATGATCGCTAAGACCACAGACTAAAACTTGTCGGCAGATATAATGCGGCGTATATCGGCCATAAAGTGCTTTGGCCAGCGCCCCTGCATCTCAGCTGCGTATCAAATTACGATCGATACCCTCCCAAGCAATTGTATAAATAAAAAATTAAAAACAAAAAAAAAATAAGTTGGCGCATGTTATCATAAAACTGAGTTTATCATGGTTAGCATAGAAATTAAGCTGTGCCGATTTCGTGTTTAGGTTCAACGCTGGCAGCAGTGCGGCACAGTGGGCTCTGCAGTTCGAAAACGGAATGGAAATATGTGAAGATATTCTTCAAAATAAATACAACTAGCAAAAAATATTTAAAATGTATATTTCTAGCCTAAAATATTGGGGCGGAGCAGTGAAAGGGAAGTTAGAAATTGAATGTTGAATAACAGAATGGAAATATTTGAAGACCTTCTTTAAGGTAAATACTAATAATATTTTTATAAGAATATCATAAAACTTTTAAAATGTTTATTTTCTTGTATTACGAACGTTAAATATTGGGACGGAAGTTAAAAATTGAAAATTAAATGTTTGTAAATAGAATGGAAATATGTGAAGATCTTCTTCAAGAAATACTAATACTATCCGTATTAGAAGACTATCATATTACTTTTAAAAGAAATATTTTATCGCTGTTATAACCTAAGATAAATGGATGGAGTAGTGGGGAACTTAAAAATTGAAAGAACGGAAATATGTGAAGAGGCTATCAATATTGGGAGACTAACATATAACTTTTAAAATGTATACTTCTAGACTCAAATATTTGGACGGAGCTGTCGGAAAAGTAGAAATTAAAAGTTGGAAAACAAAATGGAAATATGTGAAATTATTCTTCAAGATAAATACATATATTATCGAAAATAAAATGGAAATATGTATGTGAAGATGTTCTTCAAGAAAATACGTATACTATATTTCTTATATATTTTAAATTTATTATATTATTGGGACGGAGCAGTCGGAAAGTTAGAAATTGAAAATTGGAAAACATCATGGAAATATGTAAAAATATTTTTCAAGATAAATGCAAATTAATTAATTATATTTGTAACTTTAATAAGTTTTAGAATTGTATTTAAAATGACAATAATCAAATCACTTGATTTCTGTTATGAGCCAAAATGTGCAATATATTTTGAAAATGTATTCAAATATTGTCTTCAGTTTGGCGGACAGTGCCGGCCCAGTGTGCAGTACTCGTATTCAGTTTGTGGTCGGTTGGTCGATCGGTCGATCGTTCAGGCCAGGCCAGGCCAGGCCAGGCCATGGCTAGCTGATTGGCATCGCTTGGTGTTTGGTGCCAATGGTGCTAAGTGCCGAATGTCGAAAGCCGTCGGGACAGCACTAGAGCGCGCACCGTGCGCGACACTGTTGACTTTTTCAAGTTGATTTCCAGCACTATATACATAAGTATATCTACAATATAGGTTTCCAGTGGGTACGTGTGTATGTGCTTGTGATCGGTGCGCATTGAAAGACAGACAAATCGACAGCCAGACAGAGAGACAGACAGGCAGAGAGTTAGACATTTTGGTTCGTTGGGTCGGCGGCGTTGGAATTGCCATCGGACAAGTGTCAATAGTACTAATAGACGTTGACGTCGTAGTCGTTGGCGTCGGCGTCGCAGCGTCCATCACCTACATCACACACACTAAGTTAGTTCTGAAAAAACGGTAAAGTTCATTGCCATTTGGCTTGGAAATCTCTGGTGGCACGTCACGGCGCGTCACGGCCTGTCACGTTGGAGCAACTCGACGACGCGCCAATACTGACAAACACAGCTGTCATGTGACTATATTTCATAGATTTGTGGATGTGGATATGGATATGGATGAGCTAGACCAGACCCTAGACCAGCCAGCAATCCACCAGCAACACAGGCAGGTTGGCGGGCCAGCCGGCCGGCTCCGATAAAATATGATTTGTTTTCGACCCAAAACCCAATTGTTGAGCCTGCCTTACTTTTGACACCTCTTTGCACTTGACAAATTGCAATTGCTTGCGACAAACAGACACATGTACATACATACATAGTTATAGGAGCGATTACGTGTTTGGGGCGCAGGTCACATAGTTCGCGTCCACGTTCGCGTCTAGACCGTGTGAAGAGCAGAGGGCCTTGTGGAAAAATACCCAAATAATAATAAATGACACAAATATTAAAACGCGACTGTATTTTCGAGTAGTTTGTCTCGGCTAACTTGATTAAAAATGCACTGTTTAAAACGGTCATAAATCTAAACTGATATCGTTATTGTGATCGACGAGGTGTTGACTAACGAATACTTAATCGGGATTGCTATCGAGTTTGCTGACCCATTTCTCTCGTATTTATTGTTGACAGACCCATTATTATATAAAAAATGTAAATCAAAATAATTGCAAGATTATCTTCACACAAAAGAATGATTTGTTCAAAATATATTAGAAGAGTATTCCCAAAAATTGTTTTTCTGGGACTTTGATGCTTCATATGCATGTATGGAGTTGTTTGTCGGGGATCCCCATGTTAAGTTTCGTTTCCTTTCCAGGAAGTAGTGACATTTTAACATATTTAACAAACATTTATTAGAAACACAAAAAGGAAGGCAATACGCCAGTCAATGAAAAATGTACATACAAAACTATAAAACCTCAAAAAGCTATTTATTGTACGAGCGAAATTATTTGCGAAATATAAGAGCTATTGTAAGAGTGAAATTCCTAGCTAAATTAAAGATACAAATGACTTATTTAATAGAAATTTAAGCGACAATTAACAATATTTTATGAGCCTTATATGATGTGAATGTACTCTACTTTTGAATTATAATATATTCCAAAGCGAGACTATGAGAAAGGCAACTGTAAATGCTTTTAAAGGCGTTGTAGTAGCCTTCTTTTAAATATAACTTTGACATAATAAACAAATTATCTATGTATATACATATTTAATTGTATTACTGACAACTTTTAAAATTAAATCTGGAAATAAAATATGTAAAATTAAAGATAATAGTGTAGCCATATTTTTCTAAAGTTTATAATTTAGTCATATATACATAGGTCTTGTCTACTCATTTAACGGCAGAAAAACTTCTATTTCTTTTATATTTAAACATTTCTGAAATAAGTGTCAGAATTAAAAAACCACTCTGTAATTCATGCTACAAATGTTGACACCATTACCTTTAACATATCTACAAAATACTATATGTATAAAAATCTAATAGTGGAACTTTAAAAAGAGGAGCTAACAGATTATCAATATAGTCAAACCGGCTAAGAATCTGCAACCAAATTTATAAAATTTTAAATGCTATTTTCATAAAACCTAGAATCTCGTTTTATGCTTTTAAGAAGTTTTTTGGAATATACATTTTAGAGCCTATTTGTAGGA